CACGGTTATAGCTCAAGCCCCAATTAGATAGTCTACACCTACCAGAATAGTTTAGAGTGACTCGCTGACTACATAGGCTGATATTAAATTTTATTTTGTCTGGTCCTAATACCTTAATTTGATTCTAAATGAATAGACTGTTAATATTAGTTGCATTTATAAAAAGAAATTTTACAATCTTCATTATTTATCAGTCGAATAAAGACAGATGAAGATAAGATAGAACTGAATCAGAGTGATGTATGTTCAAGTCATAATGTAACTAATCTCTTGTTTGATTATTTCCAAACTAGTATTAAAAGCGATTTATCAGTAAATTTCTAAAACCACAGTTAACTCGAGTTTCAATACCATAAAGTGTGTCATCTATATAGGTGTTAACTCATTGAATATAGAAGTTGATCAAGTCAAGATTGAGAGATTTCATAGTCAAGAATTGAGCATAACAAATAATTCAATCTATACAAGCAGTAGCCACCATATATGATAATTTAAGTAATTATATGACATCATGAGATTTTAAGTTAAAACTGTCCATTAGTAAAGATAACTTTCAGATTATTTCAATTGACCAACAGTGTATAGACTATAACGTAATAGCAGTAGGACTAATATAGACTGATTGATTGGTTCCCCAAAATTCCTATATTTATTATCAAACTAATAAAGGCAACTTGAATTAAAAACCTACAGAAGTTTGCACTAAAGTACTATCATGAGCATGATGTATTCATGTTGGCACCGCTTCGTTCTGTTTAATTAAACCCATTTGTGTCACTTGTGACGTATGTGAGATGTCCACCTACCAACCGAGGGGCAATTATACGATGTAGCGCTCTGCTCTGTAATATTAAACAACGGTGAAACATGTGATATGAAAGCAGGAAGCATGAGTAAGTTACCAAAACTTAGTAGTAAATGCCACGTGTTGGTTGCATGCTTATCTTGTAGCGACTCAAGAGAATAACGCAGAGCTTAGGTAAATATAACAAATCAGTCAATGAAGTTGACAATCTTCATAGATCTAGGGGGTTTGGGCATATTTTAGTTATGTTCAGTAACCTCATACCTTAAAGTATGATGGATGGTGTAAAAGTAGGTTGGAAGAAAGCTAGGTGTGGTCAAATCACGACGTGACGTCAGTACATGAAATCATCGATTGCCCAACCAAGTGATGTTGATGGGTGTACACTACCCTGTTTGGAGTCCTCACAATTATTATGACCAGTTGTTGAAGACTTCAGGTGAAATGAATCAGAATGGATAGTGAGTCTTATAATTATTTTATACCTCTCAGTTCACGGATTCACTCTTTCTTCTTAAATCATGTTCTCTATATCTAATCGTTTTTACTACCACCGATATGGTTACTACTTCTACTACTCTGGCACTCGTCTTGATAATTCTATTTCGCTGTCCTGATATGATTTGACAATTTAAGCTACCATACAACTTTTCTAGGTCCTGTTTTGTTAAAAACTGAGTGATTGATCTAAAAAGTAATTAAGTTTGTCTGGTTATCTAAAGTTTGAATAGAATTTCCTCTCTCCCAATTAGTTCAATTCGATCAAACATACTAACCTTATTATTACGGATGTCAAATAACTAGACTGTATATATTATCGACTATTCGATTATGTTTCAATAAACATTATAATATTGTTCAACCTTCATTAATGATTAAATTTTACCGACCCATTTCTTTATCTATCATTTATACCCAGTCATGAATGAACGAATAAATGAATGATGTATGAATATACACATGACATTTATCAGTAAAATAATCTTTATTATGTAATCAAAACCTTAGATTCACCATACTTTTCAGATAATCCGTGTTTTTACTGATAATGTGATAAACACGTCAGTTTTTGAACGTTTTGCATCATAAGAAAATTACACTAAAGTTAGTGTTTAAACTTATGCAAAAAGTCGTGTCATATATGTCTAAATCACTGGCTACCTTGACGAGCGATCTTGACTAAAAGTAGGGTGAATGAAAGCTGGGAGTAGCAAACAAAAAAGTGACATCAGTCGGCAAAATTATAGGCTGCTGGCCTGTTGGTAATAGCGAACCACTTGAATGGTGTCCGTGTTGCGGCTGGTACTATGTCAAGCCCACATATGCTATTCTAGCCTCCGGACGGAACAATCTACCCATTATTCTCAAGCTTCATTTTACCCTGTCACTTATTCGCCTATCAACCTTGACTTTTTATACGATCGTATGTGTGTGCATCTCTTATCCTACTCATCACATGTCTGTATCTTATTTTTGTCTGACTATAAATATCGATTCACGCTTGGTTAAAGGGAGTTAGCTTATATACCTTCTTCACTACGCGTCATTTCGCTTCTCTCCGTCTCCCAGATTTTCCGTTCAGATCAACAATTGTATGAAATGTACACATTCAAAAACTTCATTCTTGTATTTGACCTATTTAATTCCGTTATTCACCAATGTGATTTAAGTCGATAATTTTATGCGATGATTGGTGGCATGTATATTTCAATAACTTACATTCATACGGTCCAAATGGAGTCAGATTAAGGGCCACTAAATCCGCACTGTTATCATGACTGATGATTGGAGATGTTAAATAGTAGTTTAACTCAGAATCAGTCATAGTTGTACCAATCCATTCACTCATTATCTTCATTTTGATTATGAATTCCAAAATTACTTTATACTTTTTATTTCGCAATTTAATTCTCAAAATATTCCTTCATTTACTACAATCAATACTGTTACCACTTCTAATTATTTGGTATTCATCTCTATAGTTTCACTATACTGTGTTGATATGTGGAATGAGGAATTAGACGGATATGTATATTGTACCAAATACTATGTTGCTTATAATTAATTTGTATTGGCATGAAGTTTAAATATATAAGCACTCAATAACTCTTCATCCAGTATTTAATTATTATTAAGTCAGTTTTTTTATTCTTGCTTCAATCGAAGATGGATAAATAGGAGAGAATGTGAGTATTTATAAGTTTTTTTTAAACTATGCCCTTAAAAACCAGCTATTCAAATTGTTATCATCATGGAGTAAGATTCGATAGTACGTGTGCAATTTAGTTATTCAAAATGACGATTATTGACCACGTGTTGATCGAATTACAAATTTATCATTAGTCTGAGTGAATTGACGTAGAGTGCACTGTAGTCATATGTTAGGTGGTTGTAGGTAGTCGACAGAAAGCCTTGATAGAGTTAGTTTTTGTGTTAGTTGGTACTCGTCAGGAATCGCTATGTTGTAATGTCTCAGATTGTAAATTTAGGTAACATGGATTCAGATCCTACAAAGAGAGCTAGCTGAATGAACTTCCCAGGCACGCCTTGCTGACAAGTCCCAACTAGTACAAGACCTATATCAAACAGGCTTTACTGTCGATTATCTCCAACCATAGGTTAAAGTTATCTGCAAGATTCCAGACACAACGTTTGCAACTCTGAACGCAGCTTAGATATATAGTAGTCTGTTAATATGAATTTTTGGTCTCCCAACCCGTGTTATTCACTGTGATACCTTGAAGAAAGGTGGTAGCCGGGTATACGTATCGAGTATGTCAAATACATTGGTAGGTGAAGGTGAACAGTTAAAAACATTTGACTGAAATAAGTAATACATATATCTTGAATTGCGTTGTCGCTAATTATTACCAAATAATCTCAAAAAGTAACAAGGAAACTGTACTATTTTAAGTGTACCATAAAATCCTATGTATCTACAACTAAGTATATGATTGTTTGTGTGTTTATATACATATCAACCCGTATGAAACTATTTGTAAATGAAGAAGGAACGAATTGAGCGAAGAAATTTCGTTCCTTCTTTATTTACCAAATGGCAAAATGGGAATTTTCATTATATTTGTAAATGATTACTAATTATGACGTCATAATAAAACAACATAATTAATTTCATTTGGTATTGTTTACTTGGATTTTCCCATTGATGTTTAGGACTGCAATTGATCAGTCACTTATTGGCATATATGCATACTGTGCGTATTGCCTCGATATTACTTTAATTCACAAGCATTCTAAGCAAAGATGGATAGTGGCTAGCATCCATATTTGCTTATCATAATCAATATTTCTCTCTATACCTTTGGATAAGAGAAGGTATTTAATTATAGGGTAAATCAATCAGTCAATCAATCAATCAATCAATTTTCTATTTATGATTGCATTGTAAATTATTTGACTTATGATTCTTTCTCTCTGTCTCCCTCTAATGAGTATTGCATCATAATTGTCATTTTACAAATGATTGATTTATTCATCTATTCTAAAGATGCTTTCAATGAATGATATTACTCTATAAAGAATGTAAACTATATGTATATTGTTTGTTGTAGTTTCAAATGAATTACATAAATAACCAAGGTGGATTGATGAATGAATAAACGACAGTATAAAATATCAATTAATTTCATTATAGTCAATCAAAAATACTTCATTATAGAAATAATGTTAAAAATATTAGAGAATACACTAGTTTGAGTTACTGTTTTATGATCAGTAACCTATAATATTAGTGATGGCTATATGGGAAAATCGCCTTATAGCAAATCCACTGAAGTTTAAACTACTGAATGTAAGATACAGTGGTTCAATATTATTTTGGTTGCTATGACAACTACATATGTCCTAGGTTTCACTGAATGTGTGAGGCTGTACGTAGTAGGGTTGTGAACTACTGATTAGTTTTAGAAAATGATGAAATAACGATCCGATGAATGATCCATAGTTCTACATGTTCATAGGTTTAACATACCACTCAATAATCCAAAATACCCTTTAAATTTTTTTAGTAGCTTACTTTAAAGAAAACTCATGAAATTGTGATGAGAACAAAAGAAGTTTGGAGATAAATGAATTAGCAAGTATTTACTTGAGACATTGTAAAGTTTGGTTGTTTTTTAAAAATAATGTTGGTCTAAAGAAAATCTAGCTTTATTTAGATTTTCCAAAACCTGATCATTCTTACACATCCTTTTTAAATGTCATAATAACAAAATACACTATAATAAAGTTTCGCTTGTTAGTAGTATCATAATAGAAAAGAAAACCTCACATTTCATACTATCTGAACATAATCTCCCATTTGAATTCTACAACATAAGCAACAATACTGTTCCTTTAAAATAAATGAAATTTGACTGTCAGTCGAATCCAGGATACACATCTCATCCCATTTTGGATTCATCGGTTGAGTCAATGTGGACTCTGGGATTCGAATCCAGTAGATTTTGATTCGAAAATATCAACAACGGGATAATTAAAATTGTTAAAATTGAATTAATAATATATTTGTTTTTACTCTGAAATTTTTTGTTGTTTAACCGTGACTATTTGATATTTATGTGTAAGTATCATTGACAAAGTTTGACTGAAGGATTTCAAATAAACTGAGCATTGAGTGGACTGTTTAGTAATAATAATAATAATATATTCATAACACCCCAATTTAAGTATTCAGAAGAAATATGTAACACTCCTAACCCTTCTTTGGCCAGATAAAGCTTAACAATTATTATATTACTGTACCCGTTTAAATCAAGAACTGATCTCAGATAGGCCATCATTGGAAACCGGGAAGCAACAAATGGCCATTTCATTCTAGCATGGGACTCCACGACTCCGCGTACAGGAATCGAATCCAGGATCTCCAGTCCACAACGCGAACGCTTAACCTCTGAGCCAGAATTCAACGGTGTTAACACCTAAATTCAGACCTCCATCCATTGCCTGCAGTGAATAACTGTTTCATACCTGACACAGATTGAAATGCAAAATTAGAGTAAAACCCAATGATGATTTAATTGTAAATAATTTTGTTTGTTGGTATGTGTTTTTTTAACATTCCAATCAGTAGAAAGTTGGATTACTGATGTTCCGTAACTCAGTGCAATGCGCTTGTTTCATCAAAGTGAATAAACAAATCAACAGGTCAAAATTAATTAACTTAGCACATTTTGTTTCTGTGATCATTACCTGTATGAAATGAAGCATTCATTGAATGGTAGACCTTTCTCGCTTTCTATGTGGCTTTGGCGCTTTTTTCATAAATGCATTTTTACTCATCTTTTTTTCGGTGCCTTGTAAGTGCACAACTACCTTTTTTTGTCAGACAAAACTTACAATCTAATAATAGAAGTATAAATTCTTATGGAACATTGATGACTTATTATTCGTTTACCTTTGCATAATTCGTTTTATAAATATCAAAATGTTAAAATAATTGAGAAAAGGGGGCAGTAGATTAAATGGATGCATCTGATAATAAGATATGTAAATTCGATGGTTGAATTGTAAAGTTTTCATCATTTTCATTCTATTGAAAGAAACGGCTGGTTATGGTATTCAGAACTAGAATGAAAGATTCATAGTTAAGTCATCTAAGTAACTCACCGAATGGAACGTCATTAGAGTTCAAAGATGTCTTAAGCATAATCTGCTCTGTAGTAATCGAATACTCAATTATAAACAACGTAAAGCTTCGATATATGTGCATCGGTCCAATTCGTTACACTATATCAAAGCAGCGAGATGAAATTATCAAGATAAATATCAGAGTAGTAGAGGTAGTGACCGTATCACTTAATAGTAGAAAACATTACAAATAGATAATGTGACTCAATAATTATTTCGTTAAATAAAAAGTGGAAGATAATTTTCAAACCCAAAATCTAAAGGGATACAAACATTGAGAAAAAAAGTGCTGTTGTGATCAATTCTGAGTCATGTAACCCGTCTCCAACTATTGATTACGACTGTTACGCGGACTTCAACCAGGTAGTCTGTATCTAACAACGTGACCTATTCATGAAATCATTGGTTGTTGAACTGGATGTCAAATCTTGGTTTGACAGCCTCTAGATTTCCCCAGACTTAATCTTATTTTAGCCGGTATTACATGATGAGGTAGTCGGCAACTGAATATACGTGACAAATATCCTAGCTCCTTAATTTGACTAAAGTCCATTACCTCATTTACCAACTTGCCATATTTACCTAGTACGCTGTGCCTAACCACATCATTCCTCACTCGATAGTTCCAGTGTATGTAAGCAATTTTTTGTAAGTACAAGTGATGAGATTCTAGTAACCTATGAAAATCCTCTATTTTAAAGGCTGTTTTTCAGCTTTAAATCAGGATAAAAGGAACTGCTGCTTAGTATACTCTTCGATTAGTTGGCAGATGAACATCTCAGTTACGTCACATAGGTAACGCAAATTGGAAAAAGTCAAGAAAGTTTCCTGAATCCATGTAAAAATTTCTTCAGATAGCAACCGGTAATTAAACTATTTGAATAGAACAACCTAAGACCGAAATTGAAATTCCAGTAAAATGAAAATCACTAGTTTATATGTTTTATTAACAGATATATAAATAGAAATTACTAAAATACCAAAATCTCAAAAATATTATATTGATGATCACAGTTCTGATAGCTAGATTACACTGATCCAATACTCCATAAACTGTAAATTATCGGCGGTTATGATAAACGAGTAATTATCTACTAAGTGGAAGTTACTAATTGCTGTTAGTGAATCTAAAGATCGTCACTTTACTGTTAACAAAACAGACAACAGTTTTAAGAGTGGAGATGATAAAATATGATACTCGTAATGTCTGAGAGTTTTATCGAAATCACATTACAGTGAAACGAACATAGTTATAGTTATAAAAACAGTGATGTTTACATAACTATTATTATTATTATTATTATTATTACCACTAAATATTCATTCAGTATTGGTTCAACTTCTATGAGTAGATTAGGTAAGAAGTCATGTCTAACTATACATATATTAAGATTTCTTACTGTTAGACTATTACTATTTATTACAACTACACTAAAAACCAATTAGCGAACCAAGCGAAGTTTCATCAAAGTGATAATTAAACCTTTCAACACAAGAAGAAAATGACTCAATTCTTTTACGACCATTCGTTAGAAGACCGAATCATCATTCACATTTTCCATTGATAACTTCTACAAGTAAATGAGAATGAGTCGAGTAAAAAGCTGTTTCAACTATATGAGTTTTTTGGGAGAGACTCGTCGCTCTTTCTCTCTCTTTTAGAAATAAGTAGATATGTTTTTATCTTGTGGTATCAATGACTTGACCATTATCATCTTCATAATGACGATTATTATTATTCATTGTTTAAATGAAAATCTCACAATTAAGAATAAATATTATTGTATTATCCATGTAAGTGTATAGTTATGTCTATTTATTTATTTGCATATGTACACATGTGTGTGCGTGCGTGTGCAATTGGTCTATTTCATCTCCGTCTTTTAGAACTAATAATATTAATTGGTAATTTCTTGAAAACCATCTTGATTGATTTACTCTTATTGTTCTTATTTTCACACATGTACACACACATAAACTATACTATGCTACTTATTTACTTATCTATTTACTCATAATAGATGCGGTCATAACTGATATTCAGGACAATTAATTGGGAAATCTGAATAAAAATGGAGATTTAATACTACTGCTACTACTACTACTACTACTACACAAGGACAGGCTTATTTGTATGTCCGCATGCCAAGTGACTTTGGCCAAGTTATTTCAATCTTCATAGGAGTGCAATACAGTCTTCTTCCTTCCTTCCTTATTTACTTACATACTTTCAATCAATCCATCTAACTTCTATATGCCTCTTTGGTTATATAGATTAGGTTGTTTTGAGATAAAACAATATACAAACAACGACCACAGCTCAACACACAATTTGGAAAGTGAACATAGAAACTTAAAGCAAGATGGTCAGGAAAAATAGTAAAATCAATAAGGGTCGATAAACAACAAGGGTCATAGGAGGTCAAATAAAGAGAACAGTAATTAGTGTGTGTGTGTGTGTGTGTGTATTTGCGTTAACTCACGCACCGCACATTACAGTAGGATAGAGAGAGAGCTAAGTGTATTAGAACTAGGAAAAAACGGATTAGGGAAACAGGTATTGTTTCTTTTCTACTCAATACTCATCGGCCATAAAAAAATCTACGGGGAATGAATTCATATAAAACGAGATAAATTGATAGAATTCTGTGGTTTGGAAAGAAGAGAAGGAAACTGAAAACTGCTTCACAATAAAGACTTAATTAGTAAGCAGTATATTGTTTTATTTAGTAAGATAAATATCCACATGGCACCATATTGCAGTGTCAAAATGTGTACAAGAAAGGAGAAAAGAGATGAATATACTAAAGGCGAAATTTCCGTTTTTGTTGTTTCACTGATGTGTCCCAATCTCAAATCCTACAGCTGAAACCATGAGGCCATACCTATTTGTTTGTAGAATGGAAAGCTGGGCTAATCTCAGACATCGAGTAAATGTTGGCCACACGCGCGGTTTGTCAAGACATGGTTTTCTTTTTTAACGAGGGAGACACTCCATCGGTGGAAAAATGGGGCTTAAATTTCTAAAGGACAAATATATTCATCAGTTTTTAATAGTATATTTTATTGGTTCATCATAGTGATTTTAACTCTGTAAATGGTGAATCAAGAAAACACTGTTAAAAACTAATGAGTAAAAATCTAAACTGTATTTAAATGAATTTGGTTAGAGGTAGGGAAACTTCGTTACTAAAAAGGTTTGTATGAATGCAAATATGTCAGGTGTGTGGGATATACAAAATGTCAAAATATGTATGGATTAGTGGTTATCTGGGCTCAGTAGTTTAATGGATAATGCGTTGACAACTGAGCCAACAGGTACTGGGGATTCAAGTCTCAGTATGAACATTCGTATCGGGATGCAGGATGTACATCCAATTAACGAATTCCAAATAGGATGAAGTGATCAGTATAGATTCCATTCCTAACCATAATTTAATTAGATGTAGAATGTTAAAATGTTTTTAGTTAAGATACTGGCATGTACCATATATCAATGAAACCGAAACTTACCCATGGAACCATAATCATCATGTTATTTAATGAAATAAGTAAAGTTATGAATAATTTCTTCCTAATCGATTGTAATTAAAGATAATCTTTTCTTGTTGCAATATGTGATACAATTTCTAGATCTGTGTTTATGAGTTGAGATTTGAAGTTAGATCTCATGGTCAACTAATTCAGTGTTAAACATCAACCACCAATGATATTAAAAAGAATAAAGAACCAGTGATAATGACTTATATACGTTTACTACTGTTTTGAATTGTTATTTCTCACATAATCTCTCTTTTATCTAAACAATTCACAATATTATTTTTTTTGGATTTGGAATAAGTGAACTAAAGATATATTTGTCAGCATCGATCAGACCTGAAAGTGCTAGGTTAGATCCCATATGAATTGTGTAGGCCCGCTGACTCTAATTGAAGTTAGAAAAAGTTATGGCTAATCTGAAACGAGGAAGAGCAGCTGGTTCAGATGGATCGGCTCTAAAGGTATTTAAGTATGGTGGTCCAGTTTTAGCCATCAGGTTGACTAATATTTTAGCTAAAATCTGGGAACTGAATGTAATCCCATCTGACCGGTAGCAATCACTGATTGTCCCAATATATAAGGAGGGGTCAAAATCATCCTCTGGTAACCATAAAGTGATTAGTTGGACTAATATAGCATCTAAAATACTAGCCTCAATAATTATTGAACGCTTAACAAAGACTCGTAAACTGCAAACACGAGAAAACCAGTCTGGCTTCAGACCTGGTCGTGGTTGCATCGACCACATATTCACCATTCGTCAGATTTTAGGGCACAGGCATGCTTATAGGAGTCCTACTATGATAGTTTTTCTTGACTTAAAGGCGGCATTTGACTCTGTGGACCGAGAGGTTCTGTGGCAGTCTGTCATTGAAAGGTGTGCCTCAGAAGTACATATTCCTTATGAAGGCTCTTAACTCGAACACTACTAGTCGAGTTAGAGCATATGGCGAGTTGTCATCTGCCTTTGAAACTTCAAGTGGTGTCCGTCAAGACTGTCCACTTTCTCCATTTTTGTTTAACTTCATTATAGACCTACAGATGGAAATAACGCTCCAGGACTGGCTTGCATCAACGTGAAAATTAATTCAAAGTTTTCCACCATATAAGAAGATGAAAATAAAGTGCTTTTGGGAGATGAATTGCATAAAGACACATTCAATACATCCCCTGGTCATATGTGCACGGATAGATGGTCTCATTTTGTTATCGTCTTTC